GTTGCTGTCCAGGTAAGATAGTCATAGCATTTCTACCAGAAGGAATAAAGTAAGGAAGGATTAAATCATGAGACCACAAGCAAAGTGCCAGTTCTCACATTTCTACAAAGTTGCAAATAACTTACTGTTATAATTCTTTTCCTATTTCACACCTTAGGGTTTCTTTATTCAAGGTTAATAATAAAACTGCCACAAGTACTATGGAAAACAGTACAGATATCCGACGGAGAGAACTGACTCCCATAAGTTAGTGATACTGTCTACATGTTCATTACGAGAGGCATGAGCATCTGGGCTTGGTGACTATATGGGATGGATCCCCAGGTGGGGCACTCTCTGGATGGCCTTTCCTTCAGTCTCTGCTCCATTCTTTGTCTCCATATTTTCTCCTGTGGGCATTCTACGAAGCACTGAAGTACCCACACTTTGTTCTTCCTTCTTCTTGGACTTCATATGGTCTGTGAATTGAATCTTAGGTATTCCGAATTTGGGGGCTAATATCCACTTATCAGTGAGTGTGTGTTCTTTTGTGACTCAGTTATCTCACTCAGGGTGATATTTTCAATTTCCATCCATTTGCCTGGGGATCCATCCCATATACAGTAACCAAACCTGAACGCTATTGTGGATGCCGGGAAGTGTTTGCTGGGAGCCTGATATGGCTCTCTCCTGAGAGGCTCTGCCAGAGCCTGACAAATACAGAGGCAGATGCTTGAAGCCAACCACTGGACTGAGCGCAGGGTTCCCTATGGAGGAGTTGGAGAATGGACTGAAGGAGCTGAGGAGGTTTGCAGCCCCATGGGGAGGTGTCAACTGTGTCAACTGGCCAGACCCCCTGGAGCTCCCAGGGACTGAATCACCAACATAAACAACCCATGGCTCTTGCCACATATGTGGCAGAGGATGGCCTTGGTGGACAACAGTGGGAGGAGTGGCCCTTGGGCCTGAGGGTTTTCAATGCCCCATCATAGGGGAATGCCAGGGTAGGAAGGAAGACGGGACTGAGTGAATGAGTGAATGAGTGAGTGGGTGGGTGGGTGGGTTGAGGGGGAGTACCCTCATAGAGGTAGGGGGAGAGGGGATGGGATAGGAGGTTTCTGAAGGGGAGACCTGGAAAGGGGAAGACATTTGAAATGTAAATAAAATATCCAATAGAAAAATCCTTCCCCCAAAAATCCCCCAAAAAATTAAAAAAAAAAAAGAAGAGGCATGAAGATGCAAACACACACACACACACACACACACACACACACACTAAAAGTTAAAAAAATAAAAACAAAATTACAGCATGATCCAGCAACCCCCATTTCTTGGTATACGTCCAAAAGAAATGAAAACGACATGTCGATGAAATGCCTGTTTTGGTTCTGGTTCTGGTTCTGAGCTGAGTGCCTCACATCTATCTGGCAAGCTGTCTTCCACTTAGCCCAGCCCATGCAGAGAGAGACCTGCGCTCCTATCCTCACTAAAGACTGCTCACAATAACCCAGCTATGGAAATAATCTAAGTGTCCAGTAGTGGATGACTGGACACAGAAATCATGGCACATACGTATAATGGACTGTCACTCAGCCAGAAAAAGAAGAGCCTGACATTTGGAACAATATGGATGAACCTTAACAATTTGTTAAGTGAAATAAGCCAGACAAAGAAAGACAAATATGACAAGTGCTTAAATAAAGAATCTAAAAATGTTGACCTTAAAGAAACTGAGAGTAGAATAATGTTTGCTAGGGATGGGACCAGGAGGGTAGGGAAAATGGGTAGATATTTGTCAAAAGGTACAAACTTACAGCTGTAAGATGGTCATACGCACATGGGTAGTGAATACGTTAAAGAAAAAAAGACAACCTTACTCTAATAATCTAATGTACAGCATGTAGGCTGATGTGTTCATTTGACTTGGTATCATTACAGTTTGTATGTGTGTGTGTGTGTCTGTGTGTGTCTCTCTCTGTGTGTGTCTGTGTGTGTATATCATGTCATGATGATATATAGCTTGAATAGATTAAATCTTTATCAATTAACTATTAAATATAAATGTAATGAGTATTGCTGGTGCAATATTCATTTCCATTTATTGGTCCTTTTTTGGGTATGTTGCATGCATGATAAAGTTTCATTTTGTTTTGTTTTTTTGAGACAGGGTTTCTCTATGTAGCCCCAGCTGTCCTGGAATTCAATCTGTAGACCAGGATGGCCTCCAACTCAGAAATTCATCTGCCTCTCTGCCTCCCAAGTGCTGGAGTTAAAGGTTTGTGCCACCACTGCCCAGGTGAAACTTAAAACAAAACAAAACAAAACAAAAAAAAACCCTTACTTTTTCTGACCAGGCCAGATCTTTATGCCAGCTACCACTACCTGGCATGTGGGACACATTTTCACCCTCAGCCCTGTTAGGCCTCTTCTAGAAGAACTCCGAATAGATAGGTAGACTAAAAACCTGCAATAGTGAATAAATCTAACAACTGAGCTCCAAAGTACCCCTGCACTGTCGGGGTGTCACTGATGGCCTGCATATCTTTCTCTTCTCATTACGTCATAAGGAGGAGGAATCTACCATACAAGATGGAGATGCTGGTCATAGAAACCTCGTGTGCCCTCAAAGCATGGCAGGAGTAGAAGAGAACGGGACTGGGAGTCATACATTAGGGATCAGGGGAAAGGGTCCGAAAATAATGACCAGAGAGATTTCAGTTAATTTGAGAAGTAAGTAAGTCCTACGAAAACGATTACTATTTCACTCTTGAAACTCACTTTTGAGTGCCTATCATCCACTTATCTAATAGCAGGATGATTCATTGCAAGATATTCCCCTGGGGAGATGAGGTGATCTCGGGAATGAACCTAACTGAGCAGGCATCAGCTTAAGGTGCTGTCTGTGGTGCTGCCTTGGGACGTGTCTGAGGGACAGCCCTACCACA